ATTATTCAAATCGCTTTATCCGTGTTCCCGAAATCGTCGACGAAAATTTGTATCCGCACACACATATATACACGCACACACACACACACATTCACACACACACACACACATACATCCATTTTTTCTAAGGTATGCCAAAATGTTCAGAAACCTTTGAAACGTAAAGATATATAAAAATTTTCATTTTCGATTTTTTTGCGATTACTATAACTTGTCAAGCCGTTTCAAAGTTACGGGGCAAAAAGTGCCACGGTAGGGGGAAATCCCCGAGTGACGTACACCTAAGGTTTTTTATAAATGAATAAAAAAATATTATACGAAATGTTATTAAATTATGACTTATTATATTAGATAACAAAAATTTTGTAAACGTACACGTAAGTTGTTTATAGAATACTCTCATCGCCCAATTTAAAAAGCACTCATTTTACAGTATGTATTTATAATAAAGAATCTATTTCAAAATCTTCCAAGCAATTTTTGATTATTTTCATTCCTCGAATGTTTAATTACGGCACTGGAAGTTCCAGCAATTTCGATATGTATTATCGCTTTTGAGCCTTGTATAGAATTTTATATTCTATTCAATTGAAGTGAAATTGATGTGACACCTTAATAATACCCAAGGGTAGACAACTTGTGCTTGTGTGCCAATCCACCTTATGTAACAATGATTTCATATATTAAAATATATGTTTCTGAATTGAAAATTTGAACAACTTTTTATCATTTTTATTTAGTCATATATAATAATAAATAATTATTAAGAAAAACAAAGTTAAATGCTTGTCTAACATTGGCACATATGATTTACAATTTAATTTCTTCTGCTCTTCATAATTTTTGTGAATTCGTATGCAATAGATTTCAAAACAGTGGTTTGCCATTTATCTTGAGATCACTACTTATAAATATTGTGGTGACAATATTCTAAAATACATAAGATATCGTTATATATATATATATATATATATATATATATGTATATATATATATTATATATATATATAAAGAATAAATTTAAATTTATAATATTATAATTAGTTTTATTTGTCTTTAATTTAGATATTTAAAAAATTCACCCATTGGACATTTATAGAATTTTTTATTGTCGAAAGCATCTCAATATTTAATAAATTTCAGTACCTACCAACACATTATCACTATTATAAAATGTTATTGTAGTTTTACTAATATGTTAATACTAATATAATCTAATCTTTAGTCTATAGTCTAATCTTTTACTTGCATTAATATAAAATGTAATTGACAGAAAATAATTTTTATTAGTAAACGATAAATTTTATAGTTCAATAACAACTTACTGATTATATACCTGATTGAAATCCGGGAACCACTCCATTTGCAATTCATCCCAAATGCATCCGTCGACTTCCGAAATAAGTTCATTAAGAAACAATGTAATTAATTTTGCTAGACCCAACACTAAAATATTATATATTCAATATTTTGTCTTTAACTTATTTAAATCATTGATAATTTTTTTATTTACTTGCTCCATGTTTGATAATCTTCGGCACCTTGTAATTCACCGAGTTCAAAAATGATGGCATCGTGTACGAGAATATGTCAACTTGTACCAATGCTAGACAAAATTGAAGATTTTAAATTAAATTGGTGCCATTGTTAACAACTGTTTTTGTAGAAGGATGCCTAATAAAAATAACAAACGAAACTTTTAGGTCCTTGTAAATAAATAAAATTTATATATATTTTTTTTTTTTTAATTTTGATATAGAACAAACATTTTTGACAAGATTACATTTTGTCAGATGAGTAATTTAAAACAAAATTATTGAGCATATTTTAGATTTTAGATATTTGATTTTCATTTTTTCTTGAATTTCAAAATCTAGAAACATTTTCAGCCGTTTTATTTTCTTTGGCAAATACTACAAGGTAAAACAAGAAGTTTGATATAATTTTATGTCCAAATAAACAAAGTGTAAAGAGTACTTTTAACGTAATTGGATATATATATATATATATATATATATGTGTGTGTGTGTGTGTGTACTAATATAATTAATAAAATGTAAAACAAATTATTGATAAAAACACGATTCACAAATGTCAATTGAATACTAATTTCTAGAATTTGACGTCCGAAACATTATTTATCTAACCTGTTAAATTGAAAAAAACAATCATTTTAAAATTGGATGAAAAATAAACGATTAGATAAAAAAATGGTTATATAGATCTTATATAAATAGTAAAATCTAAAAAACTAAAATTTATGAAATCAGATTAATTGAATAAAATGAAAATGACATTTTTAATTGTATGGCGTCGAACTTCCCGTACTGTAACGAAATGATCGAAGAATATTAAAAGTTTTCAAATGGATGTTTATAAATACTGTAATATTTTTTAATATTTATAAGAACTATATAAACTGAATTACAGAGTTAAAATAATTTATCAAAAGTATATACGAGTTTCAAAACTTTAGCCAGAATTGAAATTAAAATCTGAAAAAAAATTGAATTGAAAAAAAAATTGAAATAAAAAAAACTTTATTCCAAAAATAATTGTTTTCCAAACACAAGCACAATATTTTTTGGATCATTCAAATCGGACACTTCGTTCTCAAACTTTCTGTTTATGTTTTGTTCACTTTTTGCTCCGTATCTTTGTAACGGCTGGACCTGCCTTTGCCAAATTCTAATCAGCATATCTCTCTATCAACAGAAATCGATTGTTTTTTTAATTTTTCAAATCGGTTTATCCATACGCCCGAAATCGTCGACAAAAAATTGTCTTCACACATACACACACTCACACATCCACTCTTGATGCCCGCGATTTAGTGCTCTACGGGACGATGAAGAAGAGATATTGAGGCGAAGTATTATTTCAGATACTGTTGTTGAAGTGCCGCTGACAACTGAAGCTGCTTAGAACGCCATAGACAGATTTGCGAGAGAGGTGCAAATTGACCTGCGTTCTATGGAAAGAGAAAGGGCGAATGAGACTTCTCCCATTTAAAAGATGAGCACAAAATGAAGTTAAAAATTATAACGTTCTAGATCCTTTCCCACGAAGTAATTCCTAACGGCGGTTTTGTGAGGACCAGAGGCAAGGGCAAAGCGGAGATTTCAGTCGGTATTATACCAGGGCGGTATTGAGTCTGACATACCCAGAAACAACATCGGCCAGGGATGCATAAAAGCATTTCCTTCGCTATACAAAAAAAAAACACATCCACTCTTTCTGAGGTATGCCAAAATGTTTAGATAACTCTGAAACGTGAAGATATGCCTGAATTTTCATTTTCGATTTTCGGCCCATTACTATAACTTACCGCACAAGTAGTTAATAAACAGTAGTGCACATAAGGCTTGTTGTAACAGGGGTAAGTAGTAACAGGTATCAAAAGAATCTTAAACAATATTTAAAGATTTATTTGACTCGATTGGACCTGTAAGCCCCCCATGTTCTCCTGGCTACTGTTCCGCTGTCTGATGGAGTAAACAGAAGTGTGCATGTTCATCATTGTTGACATGTAATATTAAATTCTACTTTCACTAAATTTTGGTTTGCATTATTAATATCAATTAATTTCAAATTTTATTCGTTTCAAATTTATCAATATATTATAATGTGTAACAATTTTTGTGATTTTCAAATTATTTAAATAATTATTTTGATTAAGAAAAGAAAATCATATATAGAGTTAGATGAAACAAAATCTTGAGGCTAGTATACAAGATTTGTTCTAGCGCCCCCCCCCCAATAATTTAAACTGTTTGAACAGTTTATCAATAAAATTTTATAAACATTTACGTAAATTAAGTAAACTATTTTAATTGATTTTTAATAATTCTGGATTTAGTACATGAAAAATAGATATAATCCAAAAACGTATAAAATACATTGATTTTAATTTTATTTAGAAAATCGAGGCGTTTTGCGGATTGATCATAATCAAATATTTTTAAATTTTCAAGTATTTGTAATATATGTGTAATATAAATATTTGGCTGTTGAAACATTTTACTTATTTCTCAAGCGATTAATTCAAGTGAGCAAATCATGCCAAAAGAGTAAAAAAACTAGCTTTCATTTTTAAGTAGAACACTCTTATTTCATGTCAGATTTTTTAAATTTTATTTTAACATCATTGACATCGTAAGAGCCGATTATATTTATCCTTACTTTCCCATCAGATTCAGAGTATCAGATTGTAGTTTTCGAATTGAATTTTTATAGTATTTTAAAAGTATTGTCGAAAGATTAGTATAAGAAGCAAAAAAAAATTACATATTTTCTGAACTCTATTGAAAAAAAAAACTAATTACATTTGTATCTGCATTATTTCTGCATAGTTAATAGTTAAATTTAGAGTATGGACATCTTTAGGTATAAAAAAAGCCCAACGATTTTTGTTCCAAAGTAAATATTGATTCTATTTTTCATATTTGCTCCATTTCCATAACCCCAACAGCCACGCATGTCATCAACAATGAGAGCACATCTGAATAAATAAGAAACAACAATTTATCGGACTAAATAAGTTATTTTCTAAGTACTGACTCCCCATTTTCTATTTCAACTAAATCAGCTCGCAATTTTTCGTCAAAAATGCCCAATAATGAATTTAATCGTTCGCAGGTTTGCTCTTACGAGATTGAACACTAGATATTTTTTTTAGATTTTACGTTAACATCAAACAAAAAAGATATTGAATAAGTAGATTGAGCAATAAGCAAAACAATAAATCACTACTTTTCATAGTTATTAATCGGTTATTTGTTTCTACTGATATCACACTTCAAACTGAATATCCTTTTTGTGTCTCCGTATCCATAGTTATGTTTGATTGTTTATTATAATCTATTAAGTATTTTAGTATTTTTAGTATTAGTATTTTACATAGTTATTTATTTTATTTTTAAAAAAATATATATTATAAATTTAATTTCCAAATCTCGTTTTGGCGCCCCCTAAGGCCTGGCCCGCATTTTTCGCAAGCAATGCATTCAAAGAAGAACCGGCTCTGGGTGGAATGCATAGTTTATAAGGTATGGGCACATGTAAATTGGGTAGAGACACAATATTTTTTATTTTTACTATAATTGTGGTTTAGTTAATTGATGATAAGATTTTTTATAACAGGAAACACTATAAATTTTAGTTGTATTAATTATAATTTACATTGATTGATAAAAATTTTAATAAAAATAAGTAAAGAATGAAGTATCAAAATTTTTAATAGTGTTTTTGACGTGCCCCGGTAGATGTTACAACTAACCCTAGACATGTTGTAAAATATAATATAATGAACATCAGTTCATAAAGATTTTTACTTGATTTGGTAAAGAAATAGCTGCAGCATCTATTCATCTTTATTTCATGGAAATATAATTACTGAATCTCAAGGTATATCAATTAAAAGCTTATAGCACTCCTATAACATTTTGACGCTAAGCTAAATATAGCAATTTCAATTCTATCGGTCGAATTTAGAAATGTTAAATTTGGTTTATTTTTTTTAAATATACCTAGTACGCCGCTGCGTATTGCTACTAACTTCTGATTTATATTGTAAGATAATTATTGTTAGCAATCTCTGCTTAATGTTAATACTCATGTAAAACAGATTGCAGAGTAAACTAAATTAAAAAAAAATTAAAATGCTAACAATCAACTTTTTATCATTTATTGCTAGAAATTGCTTCTGTTGATCTTTACGAGAGTCTAATACCCGCGACTTTTATCTGCAACTAACTTGCCCACAAACTTAAGGATTTAGGTGAAATTAATTATGGAGACTTTTATGTATCTGTAAAAAATTTCATATTTTTAAAATTGGTTAATAATTTTTTGAAAAAAAAAGTGACTGATTTGATTTACAAAAACCACAAATTCAGTAGTTCGGGCAAAATAACCATCTCAAGATATATCAATTAAAAAAACTGTTACAACAAGCACCTAGCTTTTCTATAACTTTTTTCGAACAAACGAATCTCAAGATGCTAATGATATTTAAATTAAGTATTTTAAAAAAAACTTAGAATGCTCTTGGTGTTTGCAATATTATTTTACAAAGCAAATTAATTTTCTGATATTACAATATAATATAAATAATTTTAACACAGTTTAATATAATTGATTTCAAATATTTTATTCGTTTTGTTTTACTACATCAACTATTTCACAGGTAATTCTTTTTATTGCAATGATTACTTCCGCATTGATATTGCATCTTGTATTGACTTTTTGTAAGTTTTATTTTCTTCAGTAAATGTGTTTTTTGCGTAGAATAATTGGCAGATATCCTCTGAGTTTCGAAATTAACAAATAGCTGAAATGCTTTCGCACTTTTGCTATTCTGTATAGTCAAGGCAATAGACAGAACTCCAATCAAGGTTTTACCCGCACTGAATAAGTAATTATTATAAAAATAATGAATATTTTAACTATAGATGAAAGTTTTTAAAATGAAATAATTTATAAATAGAAAATCAAACTAAATTTAATTTGATTACAACTGCGGTTCAAAAAATACAAATAAAACCTTAAAATTAAAAATCACAAATTCTGGTATACATTATCTTTTATATATATATATATATATATATATATATATACATATAGATTACTAAATTATATATTCAATTATTCAAGCAAATCTAGACTAACGTTGGAATCAGATATAAATCTCTGATCCCAACCATAATATGTGCTTCGATAAAACGAAATTTTAAAATAAGATCTTCGATTTTAAAATAAAGTCTTATATTATCATTAATAAATGAGCTTTAGAACTTTAATCAGAATTAAAATTAAAACCCAAATTATTTTCGATATAGAAAAAAAAATTCAAAAAAAATAATAAAAAAAGAATAGGATTATATTTTTCCAAAAGCAATTGCTTTGTCAACACAAGCAAAACGCTTTTTGAATCATTCAAATCGGAAGTATATTTATCTCAAAAACTGTCATTTTTTGCACAATTAGATTGGTAACTCCAAAACGGCTGGACCTGCCTTTGCTAAACGACACTTCTCCCAATCATTACAAATTTAATGTTTTTTAAATTATTTAAATCAGAAAATCCGTTCTTTCAAAACTTCGATTTCTATTTTCTGCACTTTTTGCTCCGTATCTCCGTAACGGCTGGATCTGCCTTTGCCAAAAACTAATCAGCACATCCACCTATCAATATGAATCAAATATTATTTGAACCATTTAAATCGGCTGATCGTGCCCGAAAACGTGAACGAAATAATGCGGACACACAAAACACACACATGCCTTTTTTTTAAGGTATACCAAAATGTTCAGAAATCTTCAAAACGTGAAGATATACAAAAATTTTCATATTCGATTTTCGGCCCATTACTATAACGGGAAGTTAATAATTATCATTTGCATCTTTGTCAATCCGATAAATACATCTAAATAAACTACAGTTTTAGTGTTTATTATGAATTTAATAATTAGTGTATTTTTGTTCTTACAAATTTAAATGTTCAGCTTTTTTGACTTCTAATTTTCCTCTTAATTGTCTTATTTTTGTATTCTGTTATATTTATAATCCATTTCCAACTATTTGCATTCTATTATATTTATAATCCATTTTTCTTTGAAAAAATAACAGTTTAGAAACATGAGTAAATATAACTAAATTATTGTATATTTGTAAATGTGAATAATTGTTTCATGTATGGTACAACTTATTATTCATTTTCAGAAATACTACTGTTAATCAAGTCTTTCTAAAGTAAAACATCGTTAAGCGCGACTCAGCAAAATTGTATTGTGAAAACCTAACCATTTTTATTGCAACAAATAACACATATCAAACAAACAACGACCTGACTATATTCTTTGACTATTTGTCATCTAGTGCTTTTCACCCCATAGACGGGGTAAAATGAGACGGCCAGGTGGCTATTTTTAATTTTATATGGATCTTACAAAATAATAAGTACATTATTCAACCAATTCAGTATATAAAATTTCTGGTTATATTTTTAGAGAATAACAACTAAAACTAATAAACTAAATAAGGTTTACTTAAAAATTATATTAAAATCTCTTAAATTGAATAATAGTGCTCACAACCACTTAAAAAAAACTAATATCAAAAAAAAGGACTTTCGTTATGGATTTTTAAACATTGTCGTTTATCTCCCGAAAGCAATGCAGTAAGAATCAAGATGATGCTTGCTTATTTGTCTTTTTACCTCTACTTTCAAATATTGTTATTAAAAAATTCTTAACCTTACTTGTTTTTGAGATATTCGAGGTGAACCATATTACCTGAGGACCTTTAAGCCCTTCTCCACCATTTATATATGTATAAAAAAATAAATAAATAATTAAAAGTATGATAATTCACATCATTACTAGAAGTAGATCTAAACCTTTTCGCATTTATCTGACAAAAAATTCTGACACCAGCTTGGTGCCTATATTCCAGATGCATAATATAACCATAGACCTGCGAATAATGATGCAATTTAGGTATACCGTTCGTGTCTTTCGTCTAGTCTGGACGCGCTCCATTGGCCGCGAAATTGAAAATTCACCCGTCCATGACCAGAAGAATAACGAAGAAAAGTGAATCCCCGTCAAGAGAGTTTGATTTCGATATTGTCGTCATAGATTAACTATCTTTAATCAATTCGCAATATCGATCTCACTTTTTAATGCCTCACTAACTAAGTCCGGAACTATTGCATTAGCTCGGATGACGGATGGTTATACAAACAGCGGATCTCGACATCGGAGAATTAACGAGAGCAAGTGCAATTAGATTTGAGATAAACAGCTTGAGGTTTTAAGTTTACTGTTTAAAACTTATTAAAGTGTATAGCTCACTCTGATATTCAAACAATTTACATCTATATTATTTTTCACAAAGTCTGTGAGAAAAGTCAATGTACCAATTTAAAATTGAATACATGATTATTTGGTCAAAACGTTGTTGAAATTGAAAATATCTGAAAGTCGACTCTCATTTTGAATTTGCATTGATATAGACAAAATTGAAAAAGTTAATAATTTAAAGTATATATATATACACATAAATATATGTAAGTTCTTTGAGAGCAATACAACAAATAAAGAAAAAGCAAGGTTTTATAAAATAATAACGTTTTGACATACAATTTGATGTCATCATAAGTGGATATTGAACTTGGTATTTTACAACTAAAAATGTTTACACATCACAGAATTTTGCACTAACATTGGTACTAGTCAATAATCATTAATTTTTTGCAAAAGTCAATATTTTTATATTGCATGTCGAAACGTTTGAAATTAAAGATTATTTTATAATTCTTTGTTTTTTCTTTTTTTAATGTATTGCCCTCAAAGAACTTACTCATATATATATATATATATATATATATATATATATATATATATATATTGAAAGTGTTTAAATTTGATGTTGAAATGTATGATTAATTTCTTGGAGGGCGTAACATCAAGTAATTAATATAAATAAATAAAGATTTTTTAAAACATCTTTATTTTTCCATACGTTTCGACGTAAAATTCTACGTCATCGTCAGTGGTTCTACAATTTTGAAAAAAAACAGAAAGTAACGTTAGAAACTAAATATACATAAGCAAAAATAAAAAAAAAAGATTTAACTAAAGGGGCAGACTAATTATATCTAAACCTTAAAAATAAAATAATGCATAGAACATTACTTACTTGTAATACTTAGATTATCACTTACACATATTAATACAGCTTGTAAAAAATTAATAATTGGAAACAAGCACCAAATGTCAGTATTTTTTTTTTATAAAGAACAAAAAATAATTAATAAATAGAATATTATTCGTAAGCACTCGTGTATCCAAGGCAAAGCCAAACAATAATAATTTTTTTTATAAAAATCCGAGATGCGGAGTCAAAATTTTGAAAAAGAAAAAACACATGTGGTCGTAACTGACCATCAGTATGACGCGCTTGCAGGTGTGCGTGATAGTGTTGTGCAAACCGTGGTGTTAGGTATTCAATATAAATTGGGAAACATCATTTAGAACATATTGG